AAAATATAGTGATAGGATAAGAAAAGGACACACTGTACTATGATAAACGATTATGGCGAAGAGGGTAAAAATGAGTTAATGTTCAGGACAAAATATGTTAGATGTCAAAGATTGTAGAGCCCTGTAGGCTAGTATGGTTGTGAAAAAGGATAAAGAGGGAAGAGCAAACGGAGGACGAAGGCCGTTCAGGACCAACACAAAGCCAGCCTTTAATCCTTCCAGCCCGGCTCTCACACCTTAGGATGTGGACAGAAGAAAGTGATGAAGAAAAGGAAAAGGAAAGGGGAGAATAAAAGACAAGGCAAAATAGTTGAAGCGAGGGCTTATGTCCAAGGTAGGGGTGATCCCCTACCTTGGGCCAGTCTCCTACCCCCCCTCTCCCGCGACAACACTAAGCAACGGACTGGGGGGGGGGGGGGGGGCATGTACCCTTAGAGATTCCTTATAAACAAAGAATGCGATTGGTACACCCAAACATGGCAAAGATAATCAATATCCGTTTCTTCTACTTTACAAATTCGGTATGATACAAAATTTTACTTTCAACGAGCAACGCAATATCATAGGATGTGTTTATACAAACAATTCACTTCTTAATGCATAGCAAGAAAACTTGACTTATAAACATTGAGTCATTTTTGATATTCCACAATGATAACCATATCATTAACAAAACATTATAACTGGAGATCACCAAAAAAGTGGTCGTTTTTCTCCCCTCGTAACAAGAAACCAAATATTATAACGTAAGTAATAAATTTAAAACCATTAAATGGGTTAACCATAAGTCAATTTAATAGTATAAATAGGGTATTATAACTTTTTAAATACTAATATTGTCATTAAGGTTTAACTCTTATAGATTATAGATGATTCAAAAAGGTTCAAATAATGGCAATTGTTTATCAGACATTTTCTTATGGCAATGGAAACTTAGTTGACCTTCAAGTCATATTACACGTCTCCTGTATCAACAGTAATTGTGTGTGTATCGCAGCCCATACGCCGATCGTATACATAAATATGCACTTCTTTTGCATGTCCAATTTGTGTCTAAACAATTACTAACTAAACTAAAATTTGTCTTGGCCATATCAGGTTTGAATTTCGTTTCGGAGTTTATTTGGCCCAATCATAATGAAACAAACGGCAACAAAATGACAAAGTGAAGTCTATGGCATTACAATAGTAATCACACAAAAAAGGATATGTGGCTAAAGGGTAACATTTCGCATTTCCTGCCTCAACAGTACTACTGGCATAGACATTAGTCATTAGCGTTGTATTGAAAAAGTGGCGATAGGGTGAGGAAGTTTTTTGGTTCTTAAGACGATATTTGTTGATTTCCATAGTGGTCAAGTCCAACCTAATGTGGTGAAAAGGTGAAAAAATTAGTTAACGATTAGGACAAAACATGTTAGATGCGTAAGATGTCATGTCAATGAAAAGGGTAAAAGGGGAAGAGCAGACGGAGTATGAAAGCCATTCAGAAGTAACACAGAGCCAGCCTTTCATTCTTTCAGCACGGTTCTAACACTTTAGCATGCGGACAGAAGTGAATGAAGAGAAGGAAAAGTAAAGGGAGAGGATAAAAGACTAGGCAAAATTAGTTGGAGAGGGCCGAGATCCAAGGTTGGTGTAATCGCCTATATTTGGCCTCACTTCGTCTAATATGCCCCCACATTGTATCGTTGGCTTGTAGCCCCGGCCCTTAACCACGTGGAAGAACATTTACATAACCGTTGATGTGGTTGGCGCAAATTAACTATGATAATCACACTTCCTACGTTTGTTTCTGCGGAATAAAGGATGTGCAATAAAAAAGGTAACAAAATGGTGGTAGATCGCATTAAGATTACTATGGTTGAAATAAATCAACTTCCATTACCTGGTCCTTTTACAATTCCTTCTACTGGTGATTAACTTCATTTTGACTTAATGGTTTGTATATGTTGCTCTAATATTTTACCTTAGATATTGTAAATAAGGGCTTAAAAAATATCCATAAATCTATTCGAAATACAAAATTTAAGGAAAATTCTCAGAGGAATACAACAATGAAATATGAATAGCAAGGGCATGTAAAAAGGTATACTAAAACTTGTTTCAAAGAAGGCTCAATTTATTTGCATTATCATCAAATATGGATGTATTTGCTAACGTTCCATGAAGTACATTTTCTTCTCATTGAGGATATTTCAGTTTTATGTGCACCACAATGATGTACCTCTGACGACCACCATGAAGTCCTGCGCAACAATCTTCATAAAACACCCTGAAATGGAAAAAAAATGTTAAGACCTTCATTAGACATTAACTGTATGTGAATTATGATTTTCTGTGAAAAACAAGCAAACTTTTCATCAACACAGATGATCAGTGAGAATAAGGTACTGTTATTTGCTAACATGCAAAGCAACTTTAGTAAAGGCCACGTGTATTGTTAAACATCAAATAAAGTAAAGGAGGAGGATAACTTAGTGTAAGGCAGGGAGGAAAAATTAGGGGTAGCCATATATCTTGAAATTGGAAGATATAATAAAGAAGGGGTGATATCCCTTGCTTGTTCATGAGTGTTAGTTTTATCCTGTAAATATCTGCTATAAAAAAAGTTTGGGAAGTAGTTAAATTGAGTCAAAAGGGCATCTCTTATACTGGTCAAGCACTCACATTCTCCCTCCACGTATGTGTAGTTGCCTGATAAAGGACATCTAACAATCTCACAAAATAATAAATATATGGACAAATGATGTATAAGATGGAACAAATGAATCATTGTTGATATAGGTGTAACTTCTTGTCATATGACTGTCTGCAGCTGCTAGTATAAGAAGAATAAGCAGAGAATCTAGATGAAGGGTTTGGGACATGGAACTATGGTCATGTATTTCTGACGAACACACATTTGAAACCATTCAAATACATCTCTTGTATTGTGAAGATATGTTTTCTTTTATATTCACGATAAAAGAGAGACTGGTGAGGCAGCAGATCTGTATTGAATGGCCATTTTAGACTTTACCCATTTCCTAACAAATACTAACCTTTGCAAATGGTTTTCATTCCATGCTTTCTGCTTCCAAATACTGGAAAAGAGATTACTAATCTGAAACTAACAAGCACACTTGTCTGCACCTCTGTTGTGTGAGTGATTGTCAGAATACAGATCATCAGTTATTCAGCCAGGGGCATTCAATTATCATCATGCAATTAATGAGGTTAGTAATCAAACAAGCAAATTAGATAAAAATACTGACCATGTGCTAACACTGTATATTTTCTTGTTCCCCCCTCAAAACCATTTAATTGGTGCAGGTTTCATCTGTAAAAAGAAGATATATTTAATAGGAATTATTCTCACATTTATGGGGAAATACTACTTTCAGGAAGAAAAAATATAAATTTTTTTCATACCGGAGCAGTACAATATATTAATTCAATACACTATTGAATGACTAAACATTGGGAAGGGAGACAATATCCTACTCTTAAAGAGTAATAAAAATAATTTAATTCTTATTTTGCTACCTCCTTCATTTTTCCAAATACTCTTGTCATTCCCATATAAAAGTTAACACAAAATCATATATCACTAACCTTTGCAGGCCTGTTTTTCTCGCCCCACGTACCATCTCTAGCCTACATCTGTAAAAGAAAAATTAAGCATAAACACCTCATAACTCATGATATTCACATTCATATCTAATATTTCTTTCAGAGATTACCTTCAACAGACTTTCAGACTGGGGCGGTATTTATCATCACAATAACAAATTTAAACATTCAATATCAAAACCTTATCATTTATTCCAATGGCATTCAAGTATAACTGTCCACTTATTGATAAATAAGATCAATACCAGTAGCATGAATAACAACAGGAAGCGATATACTACATGTATCCTACCCTCTACATGGGGGGAGGGAGAGGGAGAGGGAGGGAAAATCCATGTTTTGCAAAGCTATGTTTTTCATGTTTCTAAAGGATACTTTACTGTAAAAAAAAAATAATAATAATAATAACATACCAGTATGAAGTGGATGGTAATCACACTCCTATCCTTATAGCAATCACATTCGCAGGTTACATCTGTAAAATAAAAAAAATTACACTAGTAATACGCAAGATGTTTTTTATCCACATTTTTTTCAAGTTTCGCATTCAGAGATAATACCATCATCAGACTTTCAGACTGGGGCGGTATATACATCATCACATTGATGCTGGAATTGCATATACATACACACACACACACACACACACGAGAAATCCAGTTGTCAATCATGCAAAACTAGTCGAAAAGAGAAGTGATGTATCCAACTTAAACAAGTGACACTAACCTACTCAAGTCCATTGCTGTTACACTAAATCACATTTGTAGGCTTTATCTGTAAGAAAATATTATATATTAACAAAATTTGAATATCGTAATGCAACATTTGAGGCAAATATTTCTTTCAGAGAGAACCATCATCAGACTTTCAGACTGGGGCGGTATATCTATCATCATATACTGATGTCACCTTTGCATGTATACATATAATGACCACTGTATTTTGAATTTAAGTAATGTTACTGACCTCATGCAAACGTACTGAATCTCATGTTCAGTGTGATCTTCAAATCTAAACGGGTTCACCTGCAGGAGGGAAAATGTGTGAATATATATGTTGAAAATTTTAGATCAATATTTCAGGAAAGTCTCTCTCAGAGTTAATACCATCATCAGACTTTCAGACTGGGGCGGTATATACATCATCATATTGATGCTGGAAATGTTTATATACACAAATGAATAGGGAAGAGACCCAACTATTACACTGCTACCTAACGTTTTGTCCGTGCAAAAAGGGTCAAAGTGATGTAATCTACCAATATACAACAAGTGACACTAACTTACTCAAGTTTACTGCTGATCCACTAAATCACATTTTCAGGCTTTAGCTGTAAGAGGGGGGAAAAAAATGTGTAAACAAAATTTTTATATTTCAAGAGCCACATTTTTGGTAAGTATTTCTTTCAGAGATAACCATCATCAGACTTTCAGACTGGGGCGGTATATCTATCATCATATTAACCTCTTGAAGCCAACAATGCCTGTATACATGTAATGACCACTAGATTTAATCTATTTAGTAATACTGCCCTGCAAACCTACCAATTCTCATGATCAGTAGGTACTCCAACTCTGATGGGTTCACACCTGTAAGAGAAAAATATATAATCAATTATGCTAAAACTTTTAAGAGCCACATTTTTGGTAAGGATTTCTTTCAGAGAGAACCATCATCAGACTTTCAGACTGGGGCGGTATATGTATCATCATATGCTAACCTACTGATGCCACAAATGCTTTGTATATGCAATGACCTCTAATTTTATTAACATTTACACAGGAGGTTAGACACCAAGGAATCAACTGCTATGACTAACTTGTTTTTCCCATCCAATTTTAATTTCTATTATAAACACCACCATTATCATAGTAACTAATATTAAACAATAAAACTCATGAAATGGGTGATTAGGTTAGATTAACCAAGCCTAGTTAACAGCTTTTTGGTTACAGCACAACTAGGCATTTGTGCAAACTAATTACATAAAATCTGTAAATGATACTGACCTTCTGCAAGCCTACTGGTTTCCTTGTTTAGAATACACTCCTGAAACTCAACTGTAAAAGAACAATAAATGTTTAAGTAAATGTGCTATATTCTAAGGCCAAGAAACTATTTTAAGAAAACATTTAAACTTCACATCCTTCAGACTGGGATGGTACAATATAGTAATTTGTCATAAAATAGAATGAAGAGCAGTGTAGTCTACTCCCCACACAAGTAATAAAACAAGAAATTATTTTTGCAAAGCTACTCGAGGTTTCATACTTCTCCAAAAGCCAATGTTTGTAAAGAGATGTACAAGCAATATCAAACAAATACTAACCTATGGAAATCCACTCCTGTGGTCGCAGCGGCCAGGAATACGGTGCACAGCATGGAAGTGGCATCCTCCCTGGAGCCTGTGCTCTTCCAATCATGTCTTGCTCATCTTACATTCCACATTTGTTTATCGATGAGAATAATTCTAAAGCCCCCTTCTAAGCACCAAATGAGTAATCACACCAAGAGGTTTGTGCACTGGTGCCAAGTCTTTTCCATCACCTTGGCCTTTGCTGAAGATGGCAAGTTGGCATCACCCGGCCCACTGCCATTTTGCCTGATGCCGGCATGTTCATGCCGATGGGACTGGAACATAATCCAGATCATTGGGGTTAACCTGCAAAAATAAAAAAATATGTATAAATAAGATGTTGCATTTCAGATAACCACTTCTGCAGGGTATTTCTTTCAGAGAAAACCATCATCAGACATTCAGACTGGGGCGGTATATAGATCATCATAATCATTGCTAATTGTGCTACTCTAAAATAAATTTTCTACAAACACACACATTCAAAGGCACTTAGTAACCAAGGAGTTTACATGCCTACATTAATTAATCATACAACAGAATAAACTGCAATGGAAATGGATATACTCTCCTCCAATATACGAGTAATATGTTTAAATACTTTATTTTCAATGTGGTTTCTTGTAAATAATGATACAATCAACAAATGATACTAACCTACGCAAGTCAATTGTTGATGCCCTCAATCCAGTGCTCCACTAGCCTTTTCCGTGTGCAAGACCTGATTCATAGCAAGGTCTAAGCATGCTATTTCGTGAGCCAGAACAAGACGATTGTTTGCTGACATACTGCTCATATTTTCATGGGCAGAAATGGAACTTAAACAGGAAGCCAAAATGACACTGGTACCATGGTTGCATTAGGTTACTTGAAACCAAACTTTTTCCATGTGTTACCTGTAAAAAAAGAGATACTATAATAAAGATGCATTATTTTAGAGCCAAATTTCTGGCAATTATCTTCTTTCAGAGAATACCATCATCAGACTCTCAGACTGGGGCGGTATATCAATCATCACATAATCATTGAAGCCATTGCACAGTGTCTATACATGCAGTGTTCACTGTGCTGCTCTATAAGAAAATTCTAAACCAAGACAGATTTAAAGAAATTTAGTCACTATGAAGTCAATCACATGCCTATCTGATCTCCCTTGCTTATCACATTCCATGATTATTCATAAAAATAACAGCACTAAAAGTAAACAAGATTATATTAGAATTTTAACTCTTACTTCTGAAAACTCGTAAGATAAACTGGTGATCAAGTAGGCTTAATAACTAACACTTGGAGCAATCTGTACAAGTAAAAATAAATAAATAAAAACAAAAATAAAATACAACTAACCTGCAAACCTACTGATTTTCATATTCAGAATGCTCTCCTCTAACTCTTATGGTTTGACCTGCAAAAGAATGAAGATGGTGTAAGTAAATATGCTCAATTCTTAGGCATATGCTTATTTTCGATCTTATGAGATCCACTTTCAAGGCAATATTTTTTCTTTCAGAGAATACCATCATCAGACTTTCAGACTGGGGCGGTAAATCAATCATCACATATCAACCCACTGACACTAGGAGTGTTTGTAAATGTGATAAGTCCACTGCACTATTATTTCAATTTTCTTTACAAAGTGCTTTATCCAGCACTTGGGTCTCCCAGGATTCAATTAATTAACTGTTCCTAACTGCGCCTAACTGTTCTTGCCCATTTACTGCTTCCCTTGTTTTATATTTTATAAACATTTTTTTTATGGATTTAATCAACACAAAAATATAGCAATAAAAATCTTAATGAAAATTCAATGAATGAGGTAAACACGCAATCAAACTTATGAATCTGGCTTTTTGGGTTGCCACTATGCCAACTGCACATATTTACTGCACTGTGCTTATATCTATAATCCATACCTCCAGCTAAATATATTCAATAAATCATGTAATGCATGCTACCTAGTAATAATGGTATATTGTGAAATTCTTGTATGTCAGATAATAACCAAAATTACCTAGTGACTTAGCATTGGTGACGCCACCTATTTGTAAAGAAAAGAATAAATGAAAATAACAGTGGACAAGATGTGCAAAGATGCCATCAATACAATACATGGGAAGGGAAACAATAAATGTAGCCTACCCTCTACACAAGTATAAATTTTTCAGCATTGCTATATGTTTTTATTTCACTAAATCTATTTGATTTTAAAAAGTTGTAACTTACCAAAATAGAGATGATTAGTTTAAGTCCTGTGTTGTTGCATGAAGTCATTTGTTGCTCTTATCTGCAAAAACAAAACAAAAAATAAATAACATGTAATACATTATAAGATCAACATCTATGGTAAGTTATTTCAGTAATAATACCTTCAACAGACTTTCAGACTGGGGCGGTATATATATCATCACACATTAACCAAATGATTCTGAAAATGTATGAATACATGGACAGTGTTACATACTACCTGATCCCAACTACTACCCTCATTCCTTGAATTTTTAGTTCCCCCACTCCCTATACTAATAAAATTAGGTTATCAAAACACTTAAAAATCACGGATTACAGTAAATAAGGGAGATTAAGCAGGCTAATCATATGACCCTTTGGTGCCAGAATTCTGGAGCCCTTTTAGCATAAAAAAATGAAGTGTAAATAATACTGACCTTGCACAAATCTAATTTCCATTTTCATTATGATCTTCATTCTTATTGGCTCACCTGTAAAAGTAAAATATCAATAAATAATAATTCAAGTCATTGGTATTTTGCTAATGCTAAAATATTACTTACAGAATAAGTCAGTCTTCACATTATGATAGTACAATACATTAATTCATTATACAAGCAAATAGAATAAATGTAAAAAATAATAGCAAATGCCAACCTTCCATATTAAAAATGACAATTTTACACCGCTAATTGATACTACTAATTTTTCCTTGTGCTACTGTTCAAGTAAATGTTTATATCTTCGAAATGATACCAACCTATGCAGCTCGAGTGTTCTTGCATTTGTTTTGCAATGTCATATTTGTAGACTATCTCTAAAAAGCAAGAGAAAAAATTGTATAGAAAGATAAATATTTTAGATTTCACTTTTGGCAAGTTTTTCTTTCAGAGAATACCTTCATCAGACTTTCAGACTGGGGCGGTATATCTATCATCAGAGAAAACTTAACTGGGGGGTCAACCTTCAGACTGGCATGGTAAAATATATCAATTCATCAAAATACAGGAGTGAAGAGGAATGGGAAGGGAAATTGTAAATGTAACCAACCCTTCATATAAATAATTAAAATAAAGTCTTTATATAATGCTTCTCTTTTTTCTCCAAATGCTATTATAAAAAAGGTAACTTACCAAAACAAAGCAAATGATATCAGCTTATCCAAATCCTCTGCTTTTACATCTGGTAACACTTGTTTTTATCTGTTGAAACAAATTATATGAATAATTTCAAAACACTTTAGATCCAAATTTCTGGTACATTTTTCTTTCAGAGGGAATACCATCATCAGACTTTCAGACTGGGGCGGTATATATATCATCACATATCCTAATGTCAAAAAAACACAATATATGAACCTACAGCTGTGATTTAATTCCTTTACTATGTTTTGCATTCAATATGATCTGACCTGCTGATCCAGCATTTACTTTTCTTATTTTTCTAACTACTATAGTAACATTATAAACAATCAATCATTCTTATAATGGTATCTTACACAATAATAAAATGCAGTAAAAATCTTCAATATTTACCCAGAATTATAGAAATAAGGTCAACAAGCAAGATCAAGTAGATTAAGCTTTTTTGACAATACTACAAAAAATTTATAAACTGCCAATTAAATGCAAATGATACTAACCTATACAAGTCCTCTGTTCTTGCAATACATCATACTGTAGGTTTTAACTGTAAAAAAGAAAAAGAAAATGAATAAAACATGAATAAGTTGTAATATTTTAGATCTACATTTTAGCAACCTTTACTTTCAGAAATAATACCATCATCAGACTTTCAGACTGGGGCGGTATACATATCATCATGTCCTAACCTACTAATTGGAAAAGTGCACAAACAACAGTTTTGAATACAAGAGGCTTCATAAACACTATCACCAAGGTGATAAATACTGCCTGACCACACCTGCTTATGCCATTCCTTTAATCTTTTCAAATCATCTTTATTAGAAAATTAAGGCTTGAGGTAGGTGAGTGAGAAAACGTGGGCAAACCCATTCAAGTGAGGATGACTATGTTGTGCGTGATTATGCCTACTCCAAATCTGATGTGCTAAACATTAAGCTTATTTGGACCAAGGCTGTGGTTGTTGTGGAGAAACAAAAGTGGTTACTTAAAATTTAAGCTGTATGGAGCTAGGCTCCTAATGTTTACAATAGCCAGATGTATAACTACTGGCCTTGAGCAAACAAGAGAATTTGCAAATTCTCAATTAGGCATCTCATGTAAAAAGAAAAAAGATACTAACCTATGCAGGTCCTCCTCTTGTTGAATTGTCACAATAGTAGATTTCATCTGCAAAAATATATACTGTAAACCTTATGTAATATTTAGATTTACATTTTTGACAAGTTTTCTTTTCAGGAACAACCATCATCAGACTTTCAGACTGGGGCGGTATAACTATCATCACATAACCTGATACACAAAATGCACATGATAAAACTTTTAATTTGTTTATACATACACAGCACCACAAGCACTCCAGTCACAAAGGAACTAAATACTACCTGATCTCACCAACTTATCCCATCCCTTGAATGTTCTGGATTTTTGTAATACTAATATGAATATAATTAGCAGCTTTATAAATGATCGTAACCCATTTTGTTTTATATAAAAATGGACATTTTTATTGAACAAATTAAAGAAATGGAGGTAACAAACAGGTGAAATCAATTAAGGTTATCATTTGCTTTGTAACCTGAGCACTTCTGGAGCCATCTGTGTATAAAAAAAAAAAGTTTAATACCAACCTTGTGCAAATATACTGATTTTCAATGTTGAGTATACCCTCCTATTCATATGGGTTTTCTGTAAAAGTTGAAAAAAGAAAATATATATATATATATATATATATATATATATATATATATATATATATTCAAGCATCTTGCTTTTTGCCATAATTACTACTATCAAAAAAGAAGGAAAGGAAGAAAGAAAAGAAGAAGAAAAAAAAGCAATTGTTTTTGATGTCCCTATTTTCATCGTTCCCAGGGCCCTGTGTATACCAGACCCCATTTAAGTCAGACATTCTAACTGAAATTCTCGAACCGGTAGATCATGAACAAATACAAATTATAAACTGGATTACGAGACTAAAGACAGGTGGATAAATTGATAAAATCTGTTCGTAAATTGTATCTAATTCATATCATTAAAATAAATGCCAACTACAATCAAGAGCAATGGCTAATTACCAACCTCAAATCAGGAATTATTCATAATTTAATTTACTCCATGTCACAATGTTTATTTTTGATACAACTGCCTGTGTTTGAAATTGCTTCTAAATTACCCCCTCTGTGAAAGGAATTGCCAATGATTTCCATGTACTGGCAGTGCTACCACTGCACCACAACGCACACTGAAGTTTAGTACTCTTAGTTATGGCTAGATTTGTGTGCCCTAAAAACACTAAACTTAAAACTTAAAAACATTGAAAAATGATCTGCCCCTTTGCTCACTGACATGTCATGTCATGTCATGGTTCCTTTTGCACATTACTAATGACTACCAAGCATATCATATCATTTAAGTGAATGCCCATCTTGCCTTTTTCAGTAGTTCTGATCCATATACAAGTACTCTGCCTACAACATAGATGTCCCAAACAAACAAAATTAAAACTTTGCCTATGCACTAGATTTATTTCCAAGAACTAAATTTTCACATGGCTATAACCTGCTAAAAAAAAAATAAATAATAATATAATATATATATATAATATATATATATATATATATATATATATATATATTATATTATATATATATTTAAGAGCAGTGTACCAACACAGCCAAACTAAATACTTGGTAAAAATTATTTAAAAAAAGAAAAACTGGAGCTGAAAATATTTACCTGTTTTGCTGCAAATGGCATCACCATCTTTCTTATCCATCACTTTCTTCATAAGGTATGGATCCACAATAGAAATCCTGGAAAATGGGTAAAACACTAACTTGCTGTAGGTGTGCACACACTTTCACACCTTTGTCAAAGAGGTTTCGCATTCTCCATTTGCAAAACCAATATTTGATATCCATTCAATGACTTACCTTTAATGTGACTGGGTGATCATTCAAAGTAAGTTTTCCTAGAACCAGCAATATAGTGCTACAATACTAATGTTCTTTTAGAGTAAATATCTATCTAATCTTATTCATTTGACATTTTCAAACCTGATTTCCATCTTTGGAAATTCAACTAATCTAACTAATTCAGTCATTTCCCATTAATATTTAGCTGGAAATTCTAGGCTATTTGTTTGCAGCCTGGGGATATCTATTAGTACATGAACTTTTTTTTTTACATTAGCAGAGGTCCTTCCATGAAATGCATTATCTTCCACAATTTGGCTACTTAGTACATGAACTTGTGTAGAAATCCGACTTACAAGAACTATGAAACAATTCTGAAACACAAGTAAGCCTGCTCAAGTCTATGGCCTTTTTGTAAACCTTAGGGTTATAGGAAATATTTTAAAAGAGTACCCAGCATTGAAACTGTATAATAAATGAAGTTAGTTAACCCCAAATTTGCTTAGCTTGTCAAGTACTAAACACATTGTGAGGATAATAAATAAAATACATTTTTTCCCATTTGTTTACTATAGTGGTACATTTTACTTCTTGCCAATAACAGCAGCATCCTCTGCAGCTTCCTTGGCCTTCTTGGCACGGATACCCCAGTTGCGTGCCATGGTACGTTCCTGTGGGAAAACATGAACAAATAACCATCTGGACATTTTTAAGTTGCAAGAGATTACTTTTCCATTGGTTCTCTAAAACACACACACACACACAAATTGACTACCTACCCTTCACACACACACACAAATTGACTACCTACCCTTCGCAGAGCGCCATAGGCAGCAAACCTCTTGGCTTTCGAGGAAACAATCAAGGCCTTCTCACCCTTCTGGGATTCGACGTAAGGCATAACCACTCCCTTAAGTTGCTGTGCCATTGCCATCTCCTCAGGCTGGAAAATAACAGATAGGTGTCAGGAGAACACAGAATGTAATGTAAGTAGTTAATTATACATGATTCCAGGATAAACACATGCAAGCGAGTTACAACAATTGAAAAACCAACTTCCGGTACTTACTGAAGCATCAGCCTTCTTGGGCTTTGTGGTCTTGCGTGGGAAGAGGATCAACTTGCTCTTGTACTCCTTGAGCCTCTGTACATTCCTCTGCAGAGCTCCAACAGACTTGTTCACACGGCGATGGTCAACTGCAATGCCGATGGTCTGGGCATAACGCTTGCATAGACCAGCAGCCTGGAATTATTTTTTAGAATATCAGGCTACACACACAAGTATAGGACTTAATGAAAATAGTATGACAAAACTGGTTTCCTCAAAAAAGTAATGAAATAGGGTTGACAGGCAAAATCAGGTTGCTTTGCAACTAGTTCTTGGAACCAATTGTACCAAGTAGAATGTAGAGCAATAAGAGAGGGAGAAAAAAATTGTTAAGTGTAAAGAATATCCTACCTTAATTTCTTCCAGAGTGAAACCCTTGCCAAGACGCTGCTTAATGTTGTATCTGTAATAGAACAAGAGATTAACAGTCATCCACAGAAAATATCTGGATCAAATATATAACAAATGTACTCAATATAATTGATAAGTCAACCAGTTTTAATTGCAAACATTAAAATGATACCCAAATATGGAAAGCATTCTTACTTGGAAGTGGGGCATCGGACAATAGGCTTCAGCTTGCCAAGAGGTCTTGGTGCAATACGGCGGGCCTTCTCCTGCCTCTTGACACGGCGCCTGTGCTTGCGGGCAGGCTGGGTGAACCATGTGCGGACATAGCGCTGCCAGTCCTTGTGGAAGTGACCATTTGGAATAATGTTATTTCTCTTGGGGGCCATGGTGGATCTGAAAAAACAAATTCTTGTATGAAACAGGTTGAATACAATGGCTTTCCCTAACACAAGAGTTATCAATTTATTTCAACCTACTGTGATTGCAATAAAGGTTGGGCAGGAATTGTGGATGCTGAAGGATCTACATTTTGTATTTGTAATACACATATCTGGCCCCTCATGACAATTTCCCAAATTAAGCCATTTGCTAAGTTTAATGAACAGTCATCTGCTCGAGTAAAACCTTTGAAACACAGTATACAATTAGGCAATGACAGAGGATTAATATAATAATAATATAAAAAAGGCTACTGAAAAATTAAGCCTACTTTCCTGTGGATACATCTCAATGACCAGATAGGAGCAAAGACAAAACTGTGTATCAAACACAAGTTACAACAGGCTCAACCATTCATGGCACAGGTACTGGTCACCTGGCATTTAGGCCTGGTTCAGCATGAAAGGATTAGTTGTTACACAGTTAAGTGTAATGAAAATGCAAGATTATGGGAAGGAATATGTTTGGAATGCATTGAAATAAGAATTCTTTCCTTCCAGTGAACTAGTTAGAATTTAGGAAACTTCCTAGCCTCCAGGCTAGTACAGCGGTAATGTGTTGGCCTCTCATTCAAGGGGTTGGCTGTTAACACCCCACGCAGGCGCGAGAAGTTGCAATTGTTAAAACATGTCTTGGTCTCTCACTCAAGGGGTCAGCCGTTTACATCCCCACGCAGGCGCGAGAAGTTGCAATTGTTAAAACATGTCATCTGGGGCCATTGGATAACTTACTGGTTTCCAATGATTTATTTAATAGTGCAAACATTTGTACTGTATAAAACTATTATAATTCCTATCCCTACCTAAACTTGCTTCCAGTTTTCATTATGTGGAATGAATTTCACAATCCCTATATGCATATCTAATCTTGCAAACAATTCAACTAGATTTCCATATATCTATCATATTCTTAACATAATTACTTTAATAATGTACAAACAGATATTTTGCAATTCTAAGAAATATGAAATCCCCATCTTCAACAATATCTAATCTTTTAGCAACAGGTAACCAATGAATAGAATTGCATCATATCCTCTGTATACCATGAAATATTTCCTGCTCTTTATCTTCATTATTCCATCATATCCTCTGTATACCATGGGATATATTCAATTCAACAGTGATTACATGAAATGAAAATCAAATATACAATTGCATTTCTACAATGGTATACACAGACTAAGCCATGCAATTTTGACTACCATTCAATATGTAAGGCCAGCACAGCTCACTTTTCTCTAAGAAAACACATTTTAGGAATTTCATGCCATATTAACCCTTTTGCCTTTGGCTTGATTCATCCTGACAACGTATAACAAAAAATAAATTGGCATTCCTTCACCTTCTATGCGTAGATAATACACAATGTGGCCTGATCTATCTAGAAGCCCTTGAGATATATTTGATAAAAAATCCTAAAATTGATTTTCTATATTTACCAAGGCAACCCACAGGCAGTAAAAACTTGGATATAGGTAATCAAACTTATTCCTACTTTCAAAAATGAAGTATGGTTAATAACACTATTAGTTAATCTCTCTACACTTAGTTTTGGCTTGTATGGCAATGTTTGTAGATCCCCAGGGCTAGAGGAATGCACTGTTTCAGAGGGATGTTTAGAACTTGATAAACAATGGTCAAACCAATTCCTTTATTGCTGAACGAATCTTGGAGATGTTCTAATTAATTCTCTCTCAATTAGATTAAGTTTGTTCTTCTTCCCCGAATATAACAGTTCAATGAGCATGTGCATGTGTGACGTAGACCTAACACCTAGAAATCGGATATGGCTGGTGTACGTACAACACCAGCATTCTTTATTTCCAATATTTTTTTTTTTTACCTACGTGCTCATTTTTGTATCAGTAAGAATAGTATCTCTTGATTTACACAGGGCCATTACATTGTCTTGTCAATGTATACTTAAGTATCATATGGTACACTAGATTATTATTTCTTATTTAAAGTTACTTTGGGGCATTCTATCAATTACAGGCAAATTCCACTCCAGGTGAACAAACTATATCCTGGTTTTCAATAATTATTTTCAGGCAGTCAATTACAGGCAAATTTCACCTCAAAGAGCAAACACGGAGAGCCTTCTTGGTGGCGTATTTCCCTAGTCATCATGGATAGTTTCCGTACAGCATTTCCATGACCTCTTACTTTATTCACCGAGGATATTGTTCCGGCATCAGATTTTATAACAGTTTGGCTATTAGTCCGGCATACAAGCACAACTATTTGCGCAAAAACACTCTTTGACGCTATTTTTTTGTTCATTGTTAATGGCTAAGGGTCGATCATCCATTATGGATTCCTTCAAAGTTAGAACTGAATTTGCCAGTTTTGCTGATGTGAAGGACAGCTTGACCAAATTTCAAGAGAGCACTTTCAGTTTTATGTCAAAGAAGGACTGTTGCTGCAGCTTTGAAGCGTACACCAGATAAGAAAATAAAGCCAGAGTTGAAGTACTCCTACTTAGTGTTTGTCCAGTCGGTCCTAATAATAATAAACATTTTTGATGATGTGCGTGAAATGACAAGAATTATTGACTGTGTGCAAGCGCGAGTGTATGCCAGACGAATGGCCAAAAGGTTATAAAATCCGGTGCCGGAACAATATGCACAGCGTACTTTATTTCCAACAACGCTTTGCCTACTCACTATATGCATAAATAAACAACTAACTTTTCCCCTACTCTTGGTATCATATACATAAAAACATCTCCAAGTCTCTCTACGCGAGCACAGAGCACAGAAACCCTCGTATGGGGGTACAGAAACTAGTATGTATAGTACGGGGACACAGAGTACGGAAACCCTAGTACAGCATGACCCCACCAATGCCTATGTGAACATCCCTACTCTTACTAAACGGTTGCGTAAATCATGGAAGTTTTAGGATATTCGTAATATACTTAGATATAAAATATACTTAAATATAAATATACTTAATATACGTAAATATAAAAAAAGTCGCCGACTCCTACTGTTGTAACTCGAAGCCATTAAAAAACCCACTGATATTAAATATGAAGGTTATGATATAAACTAATCCTGTAATATTGTCAACCAGAATTACGAAATATGCCAGAATATTTTACTCGTAAACACTACTGCTATATTCTACATTGTACAAATATCTTTTATTTATTTAATATTTAATATCTTTTATTTAATATTTTACTAATATATTTACAGAATATCGTGATAAAAGAAATATGAAAACGTAAACACATGGCTGAACGTGGGAGTTTTTGTCATTTACGCACTCCGCTAAACCTCGATTTCACTATAAATCACAAGAAACTTGGGCAATGAAAGAGGATTCGAAAGCAAATA